GATTTAAATAACTTGTATTGTGTCCAATATTAAGGACTCAATTTTCAAACCAAACGACATTTCAGCTTTACTTGGGGTTTGTTGCTGATTAGTTAGCATGCTCTCACGGTAAATTAAGATGCAAAACATGGTGATTGTTATACCTGCTTTACATCAGCAAGTTAGCATGCTAGCATTTAGCCAAAGCAGAGCTCACAAAAATTCTCACACTATGTCAGTTGTTGTATTAGAAATAATTAAGGAATACATATATATATATATATATTAGTTTTTTATGGCTATGCAATACTTTAGGCCACAAACCATTAAACCTTTTTGTAAAGGATGTTCTATTGTGCTGTGAGAAAAATGATGAGCATCAAACTGACCTTGTTAACATAAAATAATTTCCTTTTCTTTAAAGGTCATCCGCGCCTTTTTGTGGTCCAAAAAGATCTTTGAACCATACGCAGGGGGCACGGAGGGAGTGGTGAGGGGAGGTTCGGGGGTTGTCTCGGTCTCTCCGGAGCTCCCACCAATTATTCCTTTTCTCTGTGATTTGTCTTACTGATGTGTCTGAAAATTGCTAAGATGGGATGAACCCAGACTCTGGCCCCCAAAGCTCCTGGGTGGTCAGTCTATCAGCAGACCCCGACTATCTCCCTCAGCATCAGTGTCACACCACAGCCCTAATCTATTTGGCAAGCAAACGCCGTTATTGTCATTAGTCTCTGGAGGCCTCCTAGGGGTCAGGACTAGATGTTTAGTTACCGAGGCAGACAGGGTTGGTCCATGGGGGTGGGGGGGGGCTGCATGACTGACTGGTACATGACATTATAGTGGGTGAGAGCCCTGCTCCCCACTAACCTATGTTTATGTTCAAATGTTGGAAGTAATAACGCACCATTTCTGAAGTATTGTACTAAAGTATGATTTTAAATGTTCCTTTTTGTACCTGAATAATTCCCTTTCACTTTATCTCTCTTTTTTTAAATGAGAAAATATGTGTTTTTGCATTACGAGTGCTATAATTTTCGTATTATTATATTTTGATGCCATAACTTTTGTAATTGTACTTAAAGGTCTCCTATTATGGTATTTTTAGGCATATATTATGGGTCTCAGATATATACAAATATATAAAAAACATGTCTATGATGTGTTTTGCTCAAAATACCAAACAGATCATGCATTTCAGACATCCCCGCATTTATGATATTACGTCATATCGGACACAAATCTGGATCAGCTCCGTTGTACCCCCGTTTTTAGAGATGTGGGTGCGGAGGAAAAGAGAGAGGGTTTTGTTTTCTGACATTTTGTGAGTTCCCTGACGCACCGGGGACACATTTATGTATAAAATACATCAAAAAGCACATTTTGCATGATAGGTCCCCTTTAAGAAAGTTTTAAATGTTGGTCCTTTTCTTGTAACAAAGTATGTACTGTATACACTGAGGTCACTACACTTCATCCAACACTGCATGTTATGCAGCTCAGCCTTTATTGCTGTTGTTGCCGTGGTGTCGTCAAATGGAGTTTCTGACAGATGTTGGACTCGACTGAATGAAATTCTCGTGTCTGAATCTAATGTGGATTGGGTGTTGCGTCGGTATCGTTTACACCCAAACAAAGATAATTGCTGGACATTTGTGTGTGTGTGTATTTGCTTTAAGCATGAGGCTTTTAAAAAGCCATCACACCAACTATGTGAGCGTGTGTTTCTACTTGGACATTTATTTTATGCTCACATGTGTAAGTTATCAGGAGGAGAGGTCCTGTCTAGACCAGTGATGACTTCCAACATGTTCGTCCTGTGGACATTTATAAGAACACCTTCACCTCAAATGGAATAAAACATTTGGCTTAAGTAATGACCTATATGCAGAGAAAGAGACTATCTGCAATAAATATCTAAAAGGGAAAAAAATGGCAAAATGAGTCAAAGACATCTGGTCCCCTAACAGCCATACCCCGTATCCTGGCAGAGAAACTAGCATCAGCCTTACATTTCATCAGAACACCACACCACCACGACCACCGCAAGCAATTAGTTCAGCATGGCTTATATCTCCGCCTGTCTCTCTCCCTGTGGGAAAGACGACCAATTAGGCCGTGCAGGGGAACGCGGGAGGAGAGAGCCAAAGAATGAGAGAAATGTAAACCCAAAGTGAAAGGCTGGGGAAAATACCAGCCGCATGCTAAATAACAATGGACATCTTGAGTCAGTGAGGGGACTGTCAGACCGGCCAAGGGTGCGGTTGTTTGAAATCTTCACTCCTGTGCCACTCTAGCGCGGAAATAGTGGTTGAGAGCGCCCTTGGAGAGAGTTCTCCATATCTTTTGTGTTTGTGGTATAGGTCTCAGAGTATATATACTATACCTGGGGACAGACCACCAAATCAAGTGTTTGATGTGCATGATATAGGCCACCCAACATCACTTCTCTTTATATACGTCGCCCAAAGACTGTGTGAATACATTTATAATATATAAAAAAAAACTGACCTGATTGTCAGATTTTAATATATTTGACCAACCACTCTTTAAATTCCTAATAGTGTTATTACCATGACAGATGGACCAAATATTTTCCAGTGTTGGGTTTCCATAGCCACTTCTGTTTTGGATTTAGTTATAGCCCGACCTGTTCCTTTAGCTTTATACAGATGTTTATATTTGAAAGTTTTTCTGGTTACAATATGTTACTGATATTAATATCCTTAAAGAAACACATTCATGAAAGGAGTCCAATACATTTGGTGAGTGTTATGAGATATAGAATAAGACTAAACTCTAAACCTAAACTTAAAAATAATGTTCCGTGCACACTAATTGTAGATACTCTGGTTTTCTGTATTCAATAACTTGTTACTTATTGGCTTCTGAGATGCTTATATATCATTGTAAACTAATATCGGATAAATAAATCTGCCTGGCGATATATCAGTTGGACTATTGCTTCACTTCCAAGTTGGTAACATTCAATAAAATGTAATTGTTAAGTTCCAAAACGGCATTGGTCTTTATTGAGAATAATGGAAATTCCACCTGTAGTGAATTTAACAACAGAAAGGTTTTTTTTCCTAGGGTGGTGACTGTAATAAAAAGTGTAATATTTTCAAGTCCTGGGGGTAAAACACGTTGATGAAGTGTGAGTGAGCCTTTGCACATTGTGTTCTGCTTCCATGGTATCAGTGAAAAACAATGATTATCCTCTCAAGGCAGAATCAGAAACACATGCCTATCACAGTGTGCAATCTGTGGCAATAAAGCTTTCCAACGCATGTACATTGCATTAAGTCATCAGGAGGAGAATGGGGATATGCTGCGAGGGCATAAGCACTTGGGACTTGTGTTAGATCAAGGATTTAGGAAATTAGTGGTGAGGTATGCAGGCTTCTTACCTGTTCCAAGAGTATTCCTCGGAGTCTGCTGCATTCCCCTCCTTCTCCATGCATCCCTCAGATCAGCTTTGGAGTTCCTCATCTGCTTGACATTTACATTTCCAACATAAAAACTACAGGGAATGTGTTGAACTCCAACGGCTTTAGGCTATTTACAGACTATAGTAAGGTAAATATCCATTTTTGGATTAAATAGGGGCCATTTAGAAGTCACTTCAGATTTTTACCAATAATCTTTTCAGGTCACAAACGTTTTTTGTTTTTATTTTGGAGTAGTTACCTTACTGAAATAGTTTGGCTCTGTGTTTTAAACAAATGTCACTCAAACAGGATTAAAACATGTATTTGTTTGGAACCGTCAGCTGTGGATTAATTAACATTTGATGCTCTTGCAGTGAGACATTTTTAGTGGATGAACTCAAAGGAAACAATAAAACAGGGACAATAGTTTTGAATGCACATCTTTTAGTGCAAAAGTGTGACAATGAGCATTTTTTATAATTGTTGGGGAATAACTACACCTGTATCAGGTATTTGATACACAAAATTAGTTTTTTAGTAAAAAAATAAATGTAATGTGTCTTTTCATGGAATTTGTTGATAACAAAAAAAAAGGTTGACATGGTTTGGGCTTTACAATCTGATGTTCTCTTCTTGTTTCTCCTCTCAGGGATGCTGGTGGTGATCGTCCTGCTTCTTATAGCCATCGTAGTGGTCGCCGTGTGGCCTGTGTAGCTGAGGAGGACGCAGTGATCACCGACCTGTGCTGAACTACTACTTTGAACACAGTTAGATGCAGAATACCATTTGTTTGCATCGACAGTGCACCTGTACAGTCATTTAATCAAGGTCTCATCTAATCTTTTCTCAGTGTGTATCTTCATATTGAGCCAAATGCCACTAGTCTGGCAGCAGTTACATTTTTCTATACAAAAAGTTATTAGGTGAGAGGCATTAGTAATACTGAACCGAATGTCTTCTTTTCTGCTTGGGTGTTAATTGTTCTTTTTTAAAAGTTGTTCAAGTGTCTTGCTTATTAAATTCTCAATGTATTAAATTGTTAAATTATGAAGAGGTTTGTCAGTCTTTTGGTGGTGAAGGTGGGTGCCTTTCTTTCACAAGTCTATCTGTGGTCTGAGACTCACACTGGGTACAGTTATTCGGCAAGCTTCTGCAACATTTACACTAACTTGTATTTAACCATGCACTACTGCAGCCACTTTAATATTATAATTTGTCTTTGGATTTCATAACGTTTCTAGAATAGTTCTCAGCCAAAACAAATCGCTCGGCTGTGTAGCTAACATGGCTGTTTTCCTTCCTTGTAAATCAATTCAGCTTGTCATTTCTAATAAAAGACATTTCCAGTTAATAGTCCCTGGACTCCTGTCTGTCTGTAATATTGCTAAGGGTTTACTCTGGAGGAGAGAAGAGTTTTCCAACATAATACTTAGCCGGACAGACTGGTACCAATTCCATATTTCCATTGCAAAATCTACATAATATTGTACTTGCAATTTTATGAATTGGCAACCAGTAAATGGAGAAAAGCTGCATTTATACTTACTTAAATAAATACATTTAAAAATCATTATTCAAACAGGCACATGTTTGTTTCAATGTAACAAGAGTTTATTTCAACTGAAAATCTGAATTTAGTTCTACCAGGTTGGTGTGTTCAGTAGTTATTATTTCCTTCTTTAATGTCAACGATCTAAACAACCACAAACAAGTAAAAAAAAATGAAAAAGACAATAAAATCCACAATGTCTTGTGTCATTAAATATATTCATATATAATAACCATAATATATTAGTACGCATTGTAAAACAACATTGCAAAAAAATAGTCTTGGCAATGGTGACAACTAAACAACATTTACAATTCATAGTATGAACACAAAGCAATGCTTTGACAGGTACGTGTGTAGCATTTCAACAGGAAGCTTGCCAAACCATCGCTCAGGAGACGGATGTAAAATGTACAGCATGAGGCTACAGAGACTAGAGAAGTGGGACTACAGATTACATCGTGCCAGACAGAAAAACATTGACATGTAATGTTATGTTGTAGGACTAAGAATGAAAGGCAGGAACATGTAAATATACTGTATGTGTTGATATCATTAGAGCGTAACGATTGACGCACATCACAATCATTTGATTGATTGCACATTTAAGAAAAACACACTCCATCAAACCCTAAATGTAAATACGGAAAAAAGCACTTTAGCAACAAGGGCATCTGTTCCTTTTATCTTGCAGTCTCCCAGGTGATTTTGATTATGGATGGGAAAGCCTGTGTTTTAGTTGATTATGAAAATTCCTGAACAAATTAGTACTTTTCTGAGATAGTGGAATCAGAACTTATTACCTTTTAAACAGAGGAAGTAGAGAGTCCATTAGATTAAAACCACGTGTCCTAAACATATCCTAAACCCTGTTTTACAGTTACTTAGTGCTGTGGAACACATTTAAAGGTATTGAATGGGATTTTGTGAAACAACAAATACCAGCGACATGAAACATGTAGCTCAGAGTGTTTTGGGATGGACTGAATGGAACTCCAGTTTATGATACATCAAATACGCTGTGGGATTTTACAAACCTGAGCTATGTTTTTACCACGCATTCCTTAGAGAAATCCAAACCCAACTGCATACAAATAAATGAGCAATGTGGTTTGAATCAATCAGCGTCAAGTGATTGCAATTCACCCCATTCCTCCCTGTGCAAGTGTTGAAGTGGAGAGAATTAACGTGACAGGTCAATGCGACACCGTGGCTTCTGACTGGCCGCACAGTGAATGTACAGTCATGCATTGTGTTTGCAAAGACTGTGTGGACTTATCTGCAATCTCAAAGCACTTTAAGAAGAATCCTAGATGAATGTAAGCAACTGTGAGGTGGATATTTAAAAATACATCGAAGAAATTGTTGAGCACTTTTTTCAAGGTGCTGTTTTTCGCTAATGTCCTTAATTTTCTGCGCTAGGATTGTTTTCTTCACATAAGGTAAGGACATTCTTTTCTCTTCATAATGTATTTTCTCTGTTAACATACTGCATTATTAGAGTTGAATTACATATTTGACGTAAGCGTCTGGTTCCACGGTAAGAAACACACTAGATTTTGTGATCTTTAGACATCCACATTTCAGGCCCTATGTGACATTTAAAAATACATTATGACACATTGTACATTATTTTTCATGAGCTGATGTAAGTTGGAAGTTATATATTTAAAATCTTACGTACAGACTCTTTGCATGTCTGTCAGTCTGCTCTGAGAACATGCAGTACTTTCATCGGCACAACTACAATGTTGCATACATTCAATGACCCAACTCGAGTAACTTTAACAGCTCTAATCAATCTGTGGTAGGAGTTAATATTCTCATTAAAATGTAGATGTTTTGAATTAAAAAACACACATCTGACATTTCATTTTCTAGCCTCTTGGGAACCAATATTTAATATTATGATTTCAATTAACTACTAACTAACTAAACAATTAGTCCTGATTTTTTGAAAACAAAATGATGGGGAATTTATAACAATTAGAGACTGGCCTCTGGTCCATTTTTAAGTCAGTTGTTAAACTCCTGGTGGAGTTGTGAAAAGAAAAATCACAGTTATTGTAAGTACTGAAATTAAAAAAAAGTTGTTTCAAATGCAGTCTGTCTTCCAAAAAAAGCATCATTTTAAATAGTAGCTACCATAAGCAGCACCAGTTACAGTCTCAAAAGAGATGCTTTCACAAGCAGGATTTTCAAATACTGAACCATCAAAACATAACCAGTGAAGGGGAGTAAAGTACGCTTTAGTGAATATTGTGTTTTATCCTTGATTCTCTTTCGTCACTTGCATATTTGCAAAAGTCCTGACAGCTAAAAATCTGTATCTACAGATTTCTTGACTCTTGAGGAGCAGATTTACCTGAATTTGAACAGAGGAAAATGAATGGCGACTCATTGACCGCTAAATGTAATATGCATTTCTGTGGCTTGCAAACAATATTAATTATGGCACATGGAGGAAACACTATTGCCTCAAACAGATCAGTGAAGACTTTTGATGAAACAAGCTCGCTTCTTAGCTAAGAATACAACAAGAAAACCATGCAGAGGCAACATTGCAGTGGTAATTAAGTGGCTTTTTCTGTGTCCTTTTTGCACCAGCAGAAAATATCCATAAACAACAACATAAAATATAATGATTTCATACTGAGATAAAGAAAATGGACACATAACTGTATATGCTGGTAATAGGTGCAAATTCGGCAAATCCACAAGAGAGACAAATAAAATACACGATCAAACCAAATCTACAAGGTGAGCTCCTTCAACCAAAGTTCACTAGAAAAACAAATCATCCTAAATAATTCTCTTCATGCTTCTACACAAAAAAGCAGCGACATAAACAGTCTCTTGTCTGTCCGTGGTCCTCTATCGGCCTCTCTTTTTACTTTTTACATTTTTTTATATCAGCTTTTTCTTGAATTCCTCTCCCTCTCCGGTATGTTCTCCGTCTTTTTTCCACCTATGGCTTCTTGCACTTGCCTTTCTTCTCACGCTGCTGGAACTTCCTGAGCCTGCGCGCCCACGTGTCCCTCCACTGGATAACCAGGCTGCCTTTGTCGGCCACTACACCGCTCTGGCCGGGGGAATCCTCGTCGTTCCCCAGCAGCAGGTACTTCTTCCCAGGCTTGATCTTGGGACACTTGCAGGCCACGTCTTTGGCGCGGACCCACAGGAACTGGTCCCCACGGCGGATACGACTCTCACCCTGCTTGTAGACGGAGATGATGTTGACGGTGAACTTCCACCACTCGCCGGCTTTGTCTGCCTTCAGGATGTGCACCTGGACGGCTGCAGAGTGAAGTAAAGGAGAAAGAGATGACACATTATCAATTAATGTGAGATTTCTTATAGTTCTTATAGTAAAAGGCCCTTGCTTTGAGAGGTCCTTTTAGCTAAATGCTAACATCAGCAGGCTAACATGTTTACAATGACAATGTTAACATGCTGATGATTAAAACAACTTTAATAACCTTTGCTAATTAACATAAACAATTAAAGATGAGACTAATTCCAGTGCCCATATGTCTTTGGTCATTAATCAAAGTATTGGACTCTTGACTAAATGTCAGAGAATCACTTAAGTTATCACAATTCATCCTGAAGGGAACAAGAATGTGTGAATATGTTATGCAATTGTTGTCATTACCATTTTACCTTCAACGAAAAAATGTAACCTGATCCCCAAATGTATTCAAAATAATCCTCTAGTTATTAATCAATATCTCCATCGACTCAATGGCAATACATCTGCCTATCCATCAACCTGGCGGTGGTGGCGTTTTCTCCCAGAGGCCAAGGGAAGCCAGGCTTCCCCTGTTTTTTCGGATTGTAGTTATAATTTAAATAAATAAATAAAACACTTTATTTTGTTTCGATAATTCTCCTTTGCTGTGTATTGCTGCCGGCCCGTCTCTCCCCCATTCTCATTGAGTATTTTACAAAGAGTGAAACAAACAGCGCCCCTCTAGATGTTATGGTGAAACAGTAGATTGCACTCACTGTTGCGAGAGGAGGCCAGCCGAATCTGGCTTCCCTTGGTGAAAAAAAATGGAGGGATTGACCAATCAGACAAGGCTCACGTCATGCCCCTGCCAACCTGTGATTAGTCAGGGCCATGCCAAGGGAAGCCAGAGGCGGCTGGCTTCCTTTGCCTCCAATGAAATCAAATCGCATCAATTTAGTGTTGCAGTCCTAAAATCCGGAAGTAAGCTGCTCTCGGTTTCCCTCGACAAAAAAGCAATGGGAGTTCTCCATAGGATTTTGGAAAATAGCTGGAAATAAGGTCAGTGGAAAACGAACCTGTTAGATAAATGCACTTTTTGTTCAGTCGGATAATCTCCACATGTCTACCCTACTTTTATAATTTTCGAATCATAAATCTAATCGATAGAAGATAGATAGCGTCACTGCACCACTCTCACCGCCGGTAGAAAGTAGCAAGCAACTGAAGCAAGTGCAATTATGGAGGGTGGAGATTTGGAGTATTTCATCAAAAATAATTGTACCAAACTTCCGCTACAGCAGCAACAACAAATACAATCTGATGACAGGCCGATGCCCAAACTGGAGCTGTGTACAGAGAGGAACAAAGGAGCGAATCGGACGTAAGACGTTAAAGGTCTCCTGATTTAGTTTGTGAATTAATGCTTATTAGAGTTTCGGCTGGAGAGTGCGTGCGGACCTGTCGGTTAGATAACAGGCGTGTGTAAGTCCTGCATCTGATACAAATGTGTGTAAAATGATACCGGGTGCTGTAATCACTCATCTGGTTACGTTATGACATTGACCACCACACCCCCGACCCAAAAGAAAGGACGTATTATTGGCTTCGCCTAATTTTTTCCCCACGCCATGCTACTGCCTGGCGGTGGTGCGAAAACAAAAGTCAGTGAATCGCTCAAGTCAGAAGGACTTTCTACTAGGACCGTTATTGTCTATACAACATTGTATGGCAATCTATCTAGCAGTTGTTGACATATTTCACTCTGGATCAAATTGATGTACAGAACGACTGACAGAATGATATTGCCATTCTTTGAGCAATGAAAAACCGGGAAGCTCCCAGAGTTTACCCACAACTTATTATCTGTTCCAATGCTTCATGTCTTTCCATGCCTTGCCATGGTCATCAAGGGAAACAAATACTCCTGGTTTCTGAGGTAAAGTTTTCTCTTTTAGTTTTTCTATTCCACTAAATTGTCATTGGATAATTAAGGAGGAAACTAAATAAGACACAGTGAGTCAACTAACAGCCAACCGTCCTGCATGAAGATATGTTATTGTGTTTTATCATTTTAATGAGCACTTGTCCTTTGTTTCAATTTGCGGCATCAGCTTATTATTTAAGAGTAACCTCTGCCATGGAGAAAGTAAAGGGTACATTTTTTCCAAGCTCACTGGCTCTTTTTCCAACATTATTCAAACATCAGCAACTGTCTCTCCTCTGCTACCACCATTATCACCCTGTGGATTGACGCTTGTATGAGTGCTAAACCTTCCTGTGTCACAGTATCCAAAACTCTGAAAGGACTTGTTTTGGCTTCATTATACCCAATAGCCTTTTGTATAGGATTTATTTGGTCATTTGTGTCATGGTGACTAAAATAAGAGATTGTCACATTATCAATTGGCTAACAAATTGTATTTGTTTGAGTAAGATAGATTTGATAACAATTATGATAAGTCTACTGACAACAGACCAGAAAGAAACGTGTCTATTGTCAGGTTAAAGAGCTGCCTGCAAGCCGCATTGGGGATTTTCTCAATGTTTTGACAGTGTATTGCACATAAAACCATAAGAAAGCTTAGGGAACATCGAGCTTGGTGTGGAAGGCTGATCCATCATTACTTTTGTCATCAGGTTAGTATCAGCTGCTAATAACACTGTCAAATCAAGTGGAATTATAAACAGCCAAAATAAATGATAAGCATCACATAACCTCCATGGTAAACCTTTGTGAACGGGCCCTCCTGTACTGTAAATCCCAATAAACTACAGTCGTGTGGTATAAAAACGGTCTTTCTCAGTGGAAAAGGCTGGTCTATGGTGCAGCTATGAGCCCCACATGCATTATGTCCATTACTACTGACAGAGCAGTATGATTTGTAATGTGATTAGGAGGCAGGGTAGGGCTATTAGAGACGTTAGCTGGAAAGACACACAGTGATATCACATGATGAATCAACCGGTATGGTCCTCAGAGAGAGGGAGTGAGGGAGAGAGGGAAAGAGAGGGCTGTCTCTCAAGGAGCCTAACGGAGCATGCATCGATATGTATTATATTGAGCAGAGCCTTATTAACTTCCATTATACTTCTCCTGTACTTATGGGACAGCTTTTAAAGAGAGCAATCGTGATACTGGGTCACTGGTTTCACCTTCAGTGTCGCGCTAATGGAGCCGAACATGGTGGCGGCATGAAGAGATATGTGAGTCACACTTCATGAATGGTGAAGAGCTGAAGCTGGCTCTAAAACGTCCTCACTCGGGCAACAGAAAACACATTTTTGGTATTATACAGTATAGTGAATAGAGAATTCACTATACTGTATAATACCAAAAATGTTGGTATTTTCACTGCATCATTTCAAAACCAAGTGAAGCTTCCTGAAGGAGAAACTGAAGCAGTCTCAACATGCTTCTTTAGGCTTTTAATGAGTCTAAATGGTTGAATAGTTTTCTGTACAGCAGGTTTTCTGTCAATTGTGAAGCACATTCTGTATAAGTATAGAATACATTTCAGTTTCTTTAAATTATGGACTATTACGAATGATGTACTACTGGATTATAAAACAACCATACATATTTCTATAATGAATGCTAGTTTTATTTTTTTCAACTTTCCTCCTGAAAATCATGTTTTGTCTGACATATTATAATACAACACTACCCATCAGGCATTTTCACTGCAGGTCGTTTTTCAGTTTTCTTGACAGCATGATCTTCAGCGTCTTCAGCTATGCACATATCATAATTTTAAGCTCTGTGATAGGATAGTTTCAAAACCAAAATGAAGCATCTTACAATTAACCCCTCATTTCTCATCTTCCGTCTGCAAGTGTTTGTCGTAGTGCTCTTGAGGCCTCAGTGGCTGATCTGGGCTGACCCGATGGTGACCTCGGCACCACCTTGCACCTCCCTGCTGCCAACGGGTGCTGTTCTCTGTGTTTGTGTTTGGTCAACAATCATTGTACACTGGAATGCCAGGAGTAGTATAACCCCACATTTCTCTGACATCTTCACCCCCTTCCTACCCTCCGCTCCCTCATGTAATTCTTTATGAGCGTCTGTATGTCGACCACAGAAGCTTGTTGCGTGGTTTCCCTACGCAGCATGGAGCCCCGCTCCCCTGCTGATCTTTTCAAAACAGTCCAAAGCCTCTACTTATCCTGTAGATTTACATTGTGTTTGACTTCTCGATCGGCCTCGCTGAGCCTGCGTGTGGTAAAGACTGTACTGAGATCTTGTTATGGTCTGTTATGAATCTTGAAAAAGCTGTTGTAAGCTAAGGATATATGTAACAAGAAACGTAATGCTTCCCATGTACATCGAGCACAAAGCCCCCCTGGTAAAGGCGAGTAAAACGTGGATTACATAGAGGATGATGTAGCACCTACAACTAATGGTGGATTAACTTAAATGTTTGAACCAGAACTTGATTAAAAATGCATATTTAAAAACCTACAAATGTTTGAAGGGACGTATGAGATGTTGTAATATGTGTTTATTTTAGAAGAATCATATTTTATTATTTTATATATGAATACATTAAATGTGTGTATGCATTTACTTACAGTATATGTGTACCTTATCAGTTGTTCACCATTTTTAGAAACAAGAAAAACCTACTGTCGTATGCCTCTGAATTAATTCAGATGATTATAGGTACAAATACCCATCAACATAAAATGGTGCAAAGAGAAGCTTTCATTAGTATTTCACTTGGTATAATCCCAGAATATCTCCACCATCAGTACCAGCAAATCCCCTACACTTCACACACACGCACAACACATGTTCGAATCAGCTTGGAGGCTCTCCTGGCTTCACTCTTGGGATATATAAACGTGATGGAAGTCGGTAACATGTTGAGTGATGATCCTTCAGCGGGACATCCTGATGTCTGTTTTTACCTCTACGCCTCACTGCCCTTGTAAAGAGGCAGACTGCTGTTTTCATTCAGGTGTAACGTAAATGTTCGACTCGTAACATAACTGTTTGTTATGTATAACTTTAGAATTAAAACCAAGAATCTGACCTGAAATGTAAAGGTTAACAACATTGCTTTCCGGCCAAACCAAAGAATAGCAAACAGCCGTGTAGCTGACACATTCATGGATGAACGGACACATATTTCAGAGGCAAGGCTCTTCTCACGACATCAGCAGCAAGGTAGGCATTGGTGGAAGAGGAGGTGTCTATAAGTTGACCCCTAACTCCTCCAAATCCCTGCAGAACAAAGCCCAGGGCTGTCTGTCAAGCTGCTGAGGTATGCCGCAGGATGCCGCTGCTTGGTTGACCGGTTCAGCGGCCTGACTTCAATCAGGGGAGGGGACAGAGGGAGGGGAAGAGGGGAGAGGTCATACGTCTTATCCACACCTTGAATGGCGTGGCGGACGGACGCTCACAGGAATGCAGCGAGCATCGCATCGTTGTGGGGGAAGTGGGCTGCCTTAATGAGGATCTCTTAGAGAGCACCAACTGTCCGTCACACTGTCTTTGCTTCATCCACTAGGGCCTTAAATGCTTGCTCGGAGACAACACACACACACACACCTCAGCCTAATGCTTTATCCTGCCTTTTCTCTACTTCTGTTTGTCTGCTTCTCTCTTCCTCCTTGAAGATCTGCTCTCTTCTGTTTGATCCTTTGTCTCTGTCCTCAGAAAGCTGGAGTAAGCCATCAGTAAAAAGCCTCCCCTGTAAACTATAGCAGTTCCCAAGCAACGTGCTGGATGGAGATGTATAGTATGGGAAGCCAAATATACATATTCATATCCCAACATAAACATTTAGTTTCTGTTCTCAGTGTAGTCTGGCTAAGTTACTGTGCGTTTCTTCAATCAGACCACATGTTTTTAAGCTTTCCTGTGAAAACTAATGTTAATACATGTCATTAAATGTGTGTTGTCTGTTGACTTACCGTAATCTTTCTTGCAGTATTTCTTCATGTTGATCTTCAGTTTGCCTTTAGACGCTTTGCAGTAAGAGTCGCAGTCTGCAAGGGAGGGAGAAAATACAGGGGGTGAGAACAAAGAACGGTACATTTTTGGTACATTTATTAATGATAGGAAACGGTTTTGCAACTTTTAAGGATTTGTACATTTTGTTGGTGGACTTAAAACAATCTCACATATAATATATATTCATCATTCACATTCACTTTTTGTTACATCTAAAATGTAATTGTTTTTTTAATTGCGAAGTCTGTGATCAAATGCTAACACTATAGATGAGCTATAGTTCAATGTCCATCCTTTAATGCATTTGTGGAACTGGACCAAAAATGAACATTTAGTAAATACATAAATAAAGCATTAGCAAGACAGACAGTGCCAGCAGATCGGGGAGAATTTACAAAGACAGAAAGAACGGTTCCCCTGAGCAACTTTTCAGACAACAGCACCTCTGGAAATAGTTTTTGGGATGACTGGTTGGCGCACCTCTGTCTGGTTTGGTTGTGTTGTCTAATGGCTCTGCTGTTATGTCCCTGCTGGAATCATTAAGGGTGTGTGTTTTGGTTGTGGTGGAGGCACTTTATCCCTTTAACCATGTCTACAACCTCCATGTGTGATGGCAGGACCTCCGTCTGAATGGAGCTGATGGTACCAGCAGCGGTTTAGGAGACACACAAATCACCGCTGCCATCTACCCACTCACTCCTCTTCAGACTGTGGGAATGAGTCAGGCCTGAGCAGACCACCCTCCACCCACTTCAACCCCCCGCCTCCCAACAAAATCTCACCTCGCTTGCCACCTCAGCTCTATAGACCTCCCGAAAAAAAATAACCCCAGGATCACTTCAAGGCCCCACTGAGGACCATGTCAAGCTTGTGCATTTATTGCAGTGCGAACAAGGAGGGGGGATGCCAATGGCTGGCAGCTATTTGCGGGAGTAGAAGGTGGGGGGGTGTAAAGGAGGTCAATGCCACACAAAGGGAGGTCAGGAAGGGAAAATTAGCCATCCATGAAGCATTAGGCAGAGGACCCTTTTTTTTGGTAGGGGGGCGAACAAATAAATACCTCACGCAGGCAGAGGGGTCAAATCGCCTCACAGCTCACACACACACACTGGAACATGCTCATGACAGTAGAGAACAGCTAAGCTCATGGTTGCTTTTTAATGTAGCCCGGGTTTTCCAGATCTGGGAAAAACTGTATTTTCCTACTGTGCAGCCTGGGCATGGAGTACTCAGTAAAAACTATTATGAATTAAAAAACATTAACATTAAATGAATTAATCAAAAACATTAATATCCAATCATGAATTTAAGTGAATCATGCTAGTTGGCTTAAAGAGATGTGTATCTCAGTTTGGCTTCCTGGTAAAAAAAAAAAGAATGTGCACAATCTCAGAGGTAATTTAGGTTTCATCTTTGTTTATCATCCAGAAAAAAATCGAAAACAAACATTTTAAATGAGCAAGATTACGTTTGAGACATGTTTTTTGGACTACATCAAGTACATGCTTAAATAAAGTTGTTATATTCCATGCTTGATGAAACCATCAACCATTGGTTGTTGTGTTTTGTTTATTGGAAGTAAGCCGTCATTTTGCCACCCGTCCAGAAGGATATACAGTACATATGCCATCAGTTTTATGATGGATTACCAGAAGGTAAACCAGGCAACACTATATACCTTCCTCCACATCTCTGGCCCCAGCAATCCAGAGAGTATATAGCTTCAGGGATTGCCTCATACTATGCTGTCAAGCTGCCAGCCAAATACAGTGCGAGCCAGAATAATGTGACATGAGGCCATATCTTGAAAAATAAAAACTTGTTTCCCTTCTTTTCTGCTCTTTTAGGGCTCTCCCAGCTGGCTTAAATTGGATCCAGAGCACTGATTTGGTTCACTTCAGTGCTGCAAGTCGTACTGACTGTAGTAAAAGAGAAAGGAGGGAGGAAGAGATGGATGGACAGCGAGTAGCCTACTGAAGGAAAGTGATGGCAGATGAAGGATTGGCGCTTTCAGGCAGCCTGAATATGAACAAACTTCATTGTTGTGAGCAGATCTTTGCTCCATGCCTTTACTCTCCTTTATGCTCTGTTTGAATGAGGTTGCCTGGGGAACACTGCAAGAAGAAAAAATGCAGGGAAGGAGGCGGGAGAATGGATACTGGTAGAGAGCGAAGGGGTGGAGAGGTTGACAAAAAAGAAGAAGACAGGAGTGAAGTTTATCAGGGGGGTGGGAAGAGAAGGAGGAGTAGAAGAACGTGATTATATGGAAAATCCAAAAATCATCAAGGAAAACCAAAGCTGGAGCGGGTGGTAGTAAATAGAGAGAGTAACCAAAATAGGCAAAGTAAATGAAACAGAGGAGTCTATATGAGCTGCACCTGATTACCATGTAAATGATGGAGGGGGGAGCTGTGGAAAGGACGCTTTGTTTTCTCATAACCCCCCTTGATGCCATCATGATACTTCCCTTTGATAGCCTTTCGTTCCCCATTAGTGTACCCCTGAGACACAGCTCCGGGCCCCGCTGAGAGCACCCCGAGATCCCCATTTAGGGCCAGGCAGTCCCCTACCGTGAGGACAAATGTTCCCTTTGTGCGCACGTTACAAGCAGGGGAAGTGGGAGCAGTCCTGTAGCACTGAGCTAAAATGTGCTTTGGGTGTTCTGAGTAGATGTAGTTACTACAGCGCTTTGTCTCCGGCCTTTCAGAGCTCTGAGCAGTGCGTAACTGAGAGGTGGACCTCTGCCCCTTCCATCAAAGTGGTGTACAGCCCTTTAAGCTAATCGTTTTCATTTGGGATGCTTCTTACTAAAGCTGCTTCAAGACAGACTACAGTACTGTAGAGTTGTATGTGTTTGGGCCAACGCTTTACAGTGCCCATGGACTTAAGCAGAACCAGGCCTTGGATTGTTCAGTTGCGGTTGTTAGAGTACATTATTTCATACAACATTCCAAAATATGGCAGTAGACAATGCTGCTATAGGCATGATCTTATATTGAGCTTTGTTTCTGAAATGTTATTACATTTGGTTAAATACCAATATGTGTTGTGTTGCCGCTGTTAACACGGATAACATACAAGGTTACATTATTAATTCTGATCTAACAGGGTCTGGCAAGTCAAAATCGGGTATGAGTAAGCGCCCTATATGATAGATCTAGATAAACCCATATATCTAGATACTCAGTGTGAACGTGTCCACAGAGGCAGAGTGCCATCAGATGTACCAGAGCAGCAACACCAGGAGGTGTAAATGATGGCCCAGGAGGAGGGCTTTCTCCCTCAACCAGACTGATTGAGAAACAAATTGCGGGAAATAAAGCATGTAATTAGATTATGGAGCCCAGTGTGCTGCCCCGCTCTGTTCTGTTCTGCTCACACAAGAGCCATGAGTTTGGATGCTGTCCAGCAAAGATGCAGAGAGAAAAAAGAAAAAGAAAAGTCCCCCACTTCTTCTCTCATTGTTTTCATCAGAGAGTAAAAGATAGAGTTTGTTTTCTGGCAGACAACAGCCAGTGAAGAGGCTGTTACAGGTCTTGACCTGATTTAAGATTATTGTATGGCGTGAAATCAGTTCTGATTAGTAACTGATGAGGTTCAGAGTCAGTGGGGACCTCTGTTGGTTATCAACCAAAGCATGGACATGGAAAGACAAGCAAAACTGTGACATTACAATTTTGAGCACAAATTAGTAAATTGCATGTGAAAGTTTGATATTGATAATGAGAATTTGGCACCTAACTGCTCTATTTTTGGCCATGCTCATCGTAAAATCTCTCTCAACGTTATTGTTTTTTCTAATTAAGTGAGTAATAAGATCCCACGTTGACATGCGGAGTACGGTGGAGTTGACTAGTACTGAACAGGGTGTGTGATGCAAGACTCATGTCCAAAATATTCCAAAGGAGGGGTCCGCCACAGATTGTGATCACTTCCAGCCTCGGACAAGACACGCACACACACATGATACCCTCATGAGCCTCATCATCGTCACACCAATCCTCCTCCTCATCATCATCATTAGTTACTTTCACATCTCGTATCCTGACACGCCGGGGCGGCCATCATAGGTCATCAGCGGTTAATCTCCTCCACATTTCGTTGCTGCGCGCAGACGTCTCTGTCACGACCTGTGGGAGTGGCGACTCACACCATCCGTGACCTACCAGCACAATGTGTGTTTTGTCTGGGCCACACCATCAGAGGTATTCTCCATGCATTCCAGCCCTCCGTGTGATCGAGAGGGGGAGAGCTCGGCTGCAGGAGACAAATTAATATCCACTCCATTTTCCCTCAATTCACCCCTCGCCCCCCAAAAAATGGTCGGTCCCCTCCTTCGTTTAACAGAGGCGCAACAATGCACCTGCCTCACAGCTGTCAGCCCAACACCCCCTGGTATCTAACACACACACACGGTTGTGGACACTTTTTCACATAGGTTATTTCAAAATTAACCTTCCCAAGCTGAACCTCATTCCTTCAGCATTTTCCTCTTTTTTCCATCCCTCTAATGTCTTTATTCTCTTACGGTATCTATCCATTCTTTTGTCCCTTTCCCTTTATGTTTATCCTTTGAGTAGATTTCCCCTCTTTTTTGCCTATATCCTTTTTCCCTACTTCCAATGCCTTTCTTCTTCTAATTTCCCTTGAGTACATGTGTTCTTACCTATTACTACTTCAACCACTATACATGTTTATGTATTATATAAAAATTAAAATGTAATAGTTTCCATCTTTACTCTTGTGCAGGTTCTTCTAGAGGAGATGGAAAACATTGTTCTGATGCTCTGATAAAATCCACACATCTGTTTGCAATCCCATATTAGGTGATATCATAGCTGTATGAATACCGGGCCGAGCAGGAGGTGCGTCGGCTCTGCAACCTTCTGAGAAGGCTCAGAGGGTAATGTATGCATCCTCTGGGCCTCATGCCCGGGTGGTCCGATGGGACCATCACTCGGCTACTCATGATTCTGACATGATCGACGCAGGATGTCCGTCAAAGTGCTCCATCTAGCAATCTGCTTGATTTCAACCTCTCTGGGCCGAACAGTCTCGGGTCCATTATAAATATGAGAGGGAATTCTCAGAACTCTCTGCTGTGATTAGATTATCTTTAAAGCTACACGGCCCGTAGTTACAGTCTCCTTCTGGTTGTGTTTACATTATTTCAATGACATGGTTTAATCAATGGAATATTTTAGCCTTAAACCAGGATGTAGCCATAGGCAAAGTTCTCACATGATAACAGTGACTTGCAGGGAGAGTTATAGTTTACGTACAATAAAGTTTCAAAGTTGAAGAAATAAAACAGAAAAGTTATGAACTTTGCATTTATTCAAGTTGATAAAGCAATATGGTTCCTTGTCTCACTTATCCAGTAATCCCTCAACGAGATGAGGAAATATTTCCTACACCCCAAAAGCGGACATATTCCTGACAAGGGGGCCCAGAGCAACTCCAGATATTTTAACTCGGCACCACCCACAGTGTTATGTGAAGACAAAGCGTGAAACAGAGGGAGACGGAGGAGGTGGAGGAGAGTGAAAGAGACTGAAAGAGAAAAGAAAAGAGGTGGAGGAGGGTTAGGGACCGGCAGTTTCCTGACTGCTCTGTCAATCGAAGCTGTCCGGGGGAACGTTGGGGTCCTCAGAGGGCCCAACAACAGCTGCAGGAGCCTCTTCACATACATAATATACATATACCTTGAGCCTCCAGCAACTTCATGGGTGAGACAGAGCAAACATGCCATGAGCCAGATGACTAACTTTTTTCCAGCATGAGGTCAAAAGACACAATGCGGAACTTATTCAGACAGGGTTTGTACAGGTATGTCTGTTTCTTTAGCACACAATGCAAGTTTGTGTGCCTCATCTCTAGCATTTACAGTTTGCTTGTTTACACATTGTATAACCAAACATATGCCTGTCTTGCGAATCACCGTTTATTTATATTTTCAGTATAAATATCCCACGTAATTTAAATGAAAATCACTACAACAACCGCTAATAAAAGACCAGAAAGTTAATAAATAAATTAGCTTTAAGTCAGAAACCTTGAAACCAGAAAGTGGTCAAAGGCATTAATCACTTCAAACCAATCAGAAGTGAATTGGCGTGTGATATTAATAAACACAAAGATCTTGTAAACGAATCCTAGTGCATTCTGCACTGAATTACCGGATCCAGTTCACCTCAATCAGTCCTTCCCTCACTTCATCGTCAGGCCCCCTGCTGTGCGCTGGACCAACACCCCACTGTGCCGCAGTTAGACTAGTTAATTGTGAAAGTGTGAGAGATTAAAGCAGGCACATCCCAGGGTTGCTGCTAATAAAGTTAATATTCATGAAGCCTTAATAAGGAGGAGGAAGGCAAGAGGGATCCAATTTACCCAGCAGTCTGTTTAAACATTTGTGCAAAAATATTGTGGAACTGTGGAAATATGGAAAAATCCCATTTACATTTCAACACTATCTTCCACATCTTCCTCTCAGGGCCAGATGTGCTTATTTGCAAGGGTAGCAGCTTATAGATAAAAAGTCAATGTTGGACTCTAGACTCACCTGATGGCTCCTCTGTACTGCTGGATGGGGTTGTTGGAGGTGCAACAGGAATCTCTGCTCCCAGAGAAAACATGATATGGACACAAAGAAAGACCAGTTTTATTATTATATGCATCCATGTGTTCTGTGCATGCATTGATAAGAAAGGGTCAAGGGAAAACAAAATACATCAGTGTAAAGACCATGAATTGGTTAAACCTCTGTGATTTATTTTGTATCCAGCTGACAAGCTTTTGTGTAAATGTGATTTTATTGGTTGACAGTAGGCAGCAAAAATTGCTTAATACTTTACTGACCAAATAATGTTTTTTTCTTTATTCAGACAAAGTTATATCTGATAGACTAAGTCAAAAATAAATGTGTGGTGCGCTAGTGGCGTAAAGTAATTTTTGTACTTTCTAATAAAAAACACTTACACAATCGGGGTAAAAAGTGTGAGATGTGTAGATGAATGGAGTCAGGAAGTTGTTTTCCTCTAACACCCTTTATAGCTCTGCAAAAGCTCCATATCTTCACATGTCTTACAAAGCCATATCGGACCAATACATTTTTTTTATTTGTTGGATGTTCAAAATATTACTACAACTTCATCAGAGCAGTATGATTGTCCAAAGACTTGATTCTCTCAGCCCTCCTTCATACTCTTGTCTTCACTAGTGGGTAGGACACTGAGACAAACCATGCGTGAAGAAGGGCCCTCTTATCTCCAAAGGGGCAGGATGACAACAGAAGATATAAAAAACCACATAATGCTGTTTTGTTATTGTGGGCAGGAGGGACAGAAGGGGCTCCTCAAAAAAGGTCTGTACGGAGGAGATGGGGGATAGGGAGGGCAAAAACCGCAGACATGTATCACAGACGCATGCAAAGAAAGAGGTGCACAACAGTGGTGGTTTCAGCTGTGCAAAGGTGAAGACTTTGTGTATGAAGGAAGCAAGAAAGAATCAAGTCTTTTGATCAAGTACAATCTAATTTCCTCAGCTGGGATTGAGCTAACCTGCTTCCTACTTTCTGAACGTACACAACAATTATGTCACCGTAAATCAGAATCTGTGGAATGATGTGTATGCCTGTTTGTGGACTTGTGGACATAATGAGGCCTTCTCCGATGACGAATTGGTTGATATAATGACAAGAAAAACAATTGCTGCCAAAACAATTGCTGCCAAAACAATAGCGCCTAAAGCCCCTAGGTCCCTCTGCTGATGTTGTTGTTGATCAGCAATCTTCCATCAGCGTTCAGCCTCCACGTACGCCAGTTTAAATAATGAGCCTGTGTCTCATAATTGACTTGTGTAGATTTATGGCTGACAGCGCTCCAGCGCAGGTGTATACAAAGTCAAAGATATAATATGACTCCGTATCATAATGAAACTTGGCAAACCCTGTCCTTGAGTCTAATGGGGGGATATTACAAATTAAATTATATCACATATGGAGGGGCTTTATTTCCATCTCAAATGGAAAACTACATTTTTTTGTATTCACAGGAATCAAGCGATAGAAGTTGATTATATATATTATTTGACTGGTCAGCCATGCAATTTCATATAGAGATCTTTTCTCATAAGTATGTAATTCCTTTTATCTAATTACAATGGCAAGAGCACCAATTCAAATGTATTTTTTGGAGAATGAGACAATTAATCTGCCATGAGGCCTTAATTATATGAAGCTTTAAATAGATGGCATCCCTTAGGCAAGCTACATCTTTCCAACATTGTACTATAATAAAAAATAAAATGGTCAATGAATGCTGAGAACAAGATTGACTTTGGAATTCAACCCAAAGCTTCCTTCACTTATCTAAGACACTTTGGGGATTGGAGATGCGGGTGTTAACGGCTCTGGGTCTTTTCTCAAAGGTATGGAGAGAGCAACAAGCCGAGAGCATAACCTTGAGGTTCAGTTTAATGGTGTGTTTATTTAAGCTGGCAGATTTACTGGTCAGAAAACCGTCAGTCTGACACTAAAGCACTTGTCTGAAGAAGCATTGTTTGAGTCCGCTCTTACAGTATGTGTTTGTGTGTGTAGCAAATTGCTTTATGTGTCAATATTGAGTATGCCCATGTGTGTGTCCCTCCCTTTTGTCCTAAAGTGAGGCAGATATGGTAAAGACTGGGTTCCACGTACTTATGCAGGGGGCAATGGGCGAGCGGCTCTGCTGGTAGCCTTTAGCACAGCGGTTGCACGTGATACCAGTCACGCCGTCTTTACAGGGACATTGTCCTGTGGTTTGGTTACAGGTTTTGCCAGCAGCACCCACGGGATGGCAATCACATGCTGTGAGGAAACAGAGGAAGAAAGAGAGGCACAGTGAGTGGTCACACACAGAGACACACACACACACACACACACACACACACACACACACACACACACACACACACACACACACACACATGTGAGGAGATACAAACATATAGTATATATAAAGAGTGCAGGTGGGTACACAGCAGTGGAGGCAACAATAATAGAGTGGTGAGAGACAGGTGGAGGCGTGCACACAGAGGAAGAACTTACCACAGCGCTCATTTTGGAGAGTGTGGCATCATGACTACAAGAGCAACACATCCTCTAAGTCTACAGACATATCTCGACATTTTGACATTGTTTGCTAATTAGCTAATTAGCATTCAAACATCACATAAAACACAAGCTGCCAAAATACCGTATCAGCATTACCCTCAGTTAGAAAAGTGTGAGTTTGGATGTTTTGCTTTGGTGTGTATGCCAGCCAGTGTGAGCGCTCTGTGGGACTGCAGCTGTGTGTGTGAGGCAAAGAGAAAGGGTTGAGCATGTTTACCAAATGATACAAATAATGGAGGATAATCCTAATTGCCTGTTTCTGATTCATGTTGGGCTTTGAACATGAGCCCAAAACGTCTGTCACATTTCCTCCCAAACTGGGGGGTTTATCGAACACACATGCTTCAGGAATGTAATCATTTTCCAATTGCTTTCCCCGATCCAAGCCCTTCATTCATTTCACAGCCAAACCCCTGTCAAGTTAGAAATCGGTGTTGAATAATAGTTGTCTGAGAGGTGTTTCTTTTCATCTATTTTTGGACCTTACAGTAAATCCTGAGAGACCAGAACAGCCTTGATAATTTATCAACATTTCCACTTATTCACTTGAAAAACCTTCAAAACCTAAAACGCTATTTGTCTCCAAACTCTCACCACTTTATTCCTCACCCCATGAGTGTTATATATTTGTGTTTATTTCCTATGGAAAACCAGTGATGCCGCTGACTCTCAGCCTCAGGGTCGGCCGACTGGGTTCGATTGCCGCCCCTCCCTGAAGTTGTTTTCTGCGTTGTGTCACTTGTCACTCTGAAAAGCCTTCAAAGGCGTAGCTGAATTATGTACTTTGAGGTTTGTGGGAGTATTTAGTGGTTTGGCCTGTTTTGCTTTTAACCACATAGATTGTTTCGACCCACAGTACAAAATTACAGCTTCACAACAATCTGTCCGTTTCGGCCTATTGCATTGAAATTAGTGTTAATATCTAAAAATGTCAAAACAAGTTTTAATTAGCAGTGAAGCTTATGCATACAAATTAAAACACAGGTTTCTACTGTGTATTATTCCAATAGATCAAATGACTGTAAGAAGAGATTGTTTTGCTTTAAATTTTCGGCAGAAAAAAAGCTAAAATGTGTTCTTTATCTTAACTTTGACCTCTAGAGCGTTGATATGGTTGTTATTCATCCATGTGAGACATGCTCTCTGGGAGATCCACATTACTGCGGGGCCTTAGGAAAAACTGCTGCTGTAAAGTAGTAAATAAATACAGAATCTGTCCTCTTTGTGATTGACCTCGGACTCTTGGAAACCACATAGCTGCTGTTCGTTGAGATTTGACAAGCAAAGTGCTACAAGACAACTCTATCCTGTGGGTTGAGCCCATCATTGTGGTTTCAGCTGACCTCCTTCTATCACACAGTCTCACGCTTTTATCTCTATTGCCTGTTTCCTGTGATTCAGCTTCTGTTGTTTCTCTTATCTCTCCTAAGTGTTTGTGTGTGTGTGTGTGTGTGTGTGTGTGTGTGTGTGTGTGTGTGTGTGTGTGTGTGTGTGTGTGTGTGTGTGTGTGTGTGTGTGTGTGTGTGTGTGTGTGTGTGTGTGTGTGTGTGTGTGTGTGCTTGCATGATGTTGGCCCCTCTTATCAGACGGAGAAAAGCCTCCCTAAAAGTGTGTGTATCTATTGGTTCCTTTATCAGAGCTATCTGTCATCGCTTTCATTGCTTAGCTGTGTCTAGCTCACAGGAACAGCACACACACAAACACACACACAAAGCTTCAGGAAGCCCAATAAACAGCGTGGAGGCCAGTGCAGCACGTCTTCAGGCCTGTACATTTGTCAGAGGAGTTCGAGGCATAGGAGGGCAAAGTGTGCTTCTGCTTGGAGCTTCAGAGAGCTCAGGTTATATTTTTAAGAGCCTCTTCCTGGTAACCACAGCTCAGAGCCTGGAGCCTGCCAGTAAACCAAGACGTGCAGCACATGGTCTACAGGTGGGAAACACTCTGCCTCCCTCTCCTCCTCCACATTTGGTGCTTGAAGGCTGACTGGCTGCCTGAGCTGCTGTCCAGTTGGATGACAAATGGTCTGACTCTCTGGCTGGATGACCCACCTGCTAGCTAGAGGAACGGCTTACTCTGGAGGTGTGAGTGAGAGTTTCTGGTTTAAGTGTGTGTCCACTTAACTGTTAAGTGGCTTCATGGCTACTACAGATGGCTACGAAGATATGGGGACAAGTGAGCAAGAGGCACTTTCAGTCTCAACACTTCCTTGGTGGAGAACTGACAGGAGTGTATGATAAGAAGCGTAGGTGTCTTATAAACATAAGGGAGCTTGTGTTTTGTCCCTAACAACGCAGAACTGAATCCAAAGGGATTAGCCTTGTATAACTGTCATGTTTTTCTAGATGAAGACAGAAATCCTAACGCTAAAAGAAGTTCTTGGCGCCGGGAGTTGCATATAAAAGCATGAAAAATGTTCTCGGTTAATGGGGAGAGTGGAAGGCTTTTTTCAAAGGCAGGCAGTCGGGCCTCAGCCTGAGATTGCACAATGTGAGAATTTTGAACTCTGCCAATCGTTTACCATAAAGCTGGCGTTTGAAGTCTGAACTCCCCCCATTTGGATTGTGTGTGCTGTGCCAATAAGAATAATTTGTTGGCCCTGGATTGAAGCCAAGCTACCCGAGTCTGTGTTCTATTATAATTAGGTTTCTGCTCCTCCACAAGTATTTTTGGAGCAGAAAGAGATAACGTTATAGGGTCGTTGCACTATACAGTACATAAACAGCTTTCCAAATAATACGTTTATCTAATAGAGGGTGTGTCTCTCTTTTTATGCTGTTTACTGTTTTATTGATCAGCATAATGTACTCAGCGGCCCTGAGCAGCTTTTGGCCACAAAGTGAGCTTAAAAAGTTATCTCGCAGATACAAAACACCCTGTGGAAATCCAAAGCTAAAAGTGATCATGAAAAACAATATTTTTCAAATCCCAAGCAGAAAACATTTTATATGTGGCCAATAAAAAAACTCTACTGTGTCAATGGAAGACCTATGCTGCGGAGAGGGGAGTATGTTTTCCAGCATGTTATTCTTATTGAAATAGACTATCCCTCAATCAAAGCCTAATATCCCTCTGTGTGCAAAATATGTTCCTCATCATCTCACTGACCAATGAAATTATATGATGGTGGATTTTCAGATTAGAAATGTGAAGGTCTGAATTCAATCCGTCAGTCACAGAACAGACGCCGACCTGCTCAAGCTTGATTTTATTTGGTTTAGATAGTCCTCAGAGGACGACTAATCATGAACAGCGCTTATTATTTGGCCAACATTTATTGTGTAGTTAGCATTGTTGCAAAAAGACTCCACATTGATGATAGGTTTCCAAGGAAATCATTAATGTTTAACTTCAAGTTAAGACAGGGTTTTAGGTTGACAAACAGGGACAACAAACTGCTGACTGAACTCTGGATAGAGCTATCACTGCAGAGTGGCATTTGTTATTTCAGTTATATGTCACATGTGTTGAAAGACCACCCAGAGTGCAGCATCTCTTGGTCTTCTCAAATCGTATAACTTTTTACGAAATTCATGCATTTCGTTGTTGAATACACTCAGTGTGTTTTATTCAGAGGCTTCAAACAGTTCAAGAAACAAACAAGAGCCTCTTGAAATGTATGCAGTGTTTACCCTCTTACTCAATGAGGGGTGAATTTATACATTCTGGCGTGTAAATGTAGCCACCGGGCATGCCTCGCTCCGCTGTCAGCCACTGCTCTCTTTTACTCGTAATGGCCTCCTATGGAAATGAGCTGCTTTTGGGGAGGATTGTATTACGCATATAAAAGCAAACTCTTGTGCTCCTCGACCTGCCCTGCGCTCCTTACAGTGTCCATTCTCTCCCAGAAAGCCACACAGCAAAAAGGCCCTCTCTCTTTTGAGTTCAATAAATAACCAAACCTCTTAATTGCTGTCACTTCAATGTAGCGCTCACGCTGCTTGAGGAGCGGGCAGAAATGAGTTCTGCGGTTTGAGTTTCATTGAATTATCTTGAGTTATGTTGTGGTAAACCTGAGAGAATGTGGCAGAGCAAGGCTTTTGACTGCACACCTAGGTGTTTGACGTAGGGGAAAGACTGTGTGTGGTAACTTTTAGTTTATTAACAGAGAAAGGGCATGTTATACGATGATACACATCTTTAGAGTTTTCATCCGTAACTTTCCAAATATAGTTTACACAAGTGTTTTAATTGGCAAAAGGAACCGTTCATGCTTTGTATCATTTGTCAGCTTGGGGTAACTACCACAGATCCTTTATTGTAAGACTGTTTTGATGTAATTGAATACCTCAGTAGAACTTGGACCGTGTTTGCTTAAAATTACTCTGGGCTGGGAGAGTTGAGACCTGCATACACTCTGGCAAATTTCATGGATGAAATTGAACAAAACTGTTTGGGTAGACTGACAATTTTATAAATAATGATAAAAAGATCCTGATGTAATGAGGATATGAAATGTTAATTATAGTGACATTGTGAGTTGTTGAAGTATTCAGAATGTCATTGATGATGGTAAAATATGTAATTTATGACTATTTCAAATACAGATTAAGCTATCAATAATTTTGTCAATTATTTAATGTTATTATTTCCTTTTAAAAATCAGAAATGTGTGAAAATGGCCATTGCATGGCTCTTGGAGGCCAAGGAGGTGTCTTGTTTGTTAACAATAACTTTTTTAGACAATAACGTCAAATCTTGACACTTAAGAAAGCTAAGAGCAGATCATGTTAATTTAGAAAAATAATATATGATTAATTATTAAAATTGTTGTAGGTATACCAATTTAAAAAGGATTTAAAGGTATTTTGTTTATCATTTCGTAGATATTAAATTGGTCGTATTGAAGGAGGTTTATAGACACTTCTGATGTTGTTTAGAAATCTGCAATAGACATGGTGGAAGGACTAAATGTTGCATGTGCTGTAGCTACACATAACATTAGCAGTAGGTTTCCCTCGGTGACACTCAGGAAAGATCAGCAAATCAGCCCGGACAGAGACAGAATCCATGCACAGAGGAAGGTGAAGATGAAGGAGGCAGAGTTTCTGTCAGGCTCCAAATCAGTAGCATTAGTTATCAAAAAGCAGTACACAAACGTATCCACAGCAGATGCACAATATATGATCAGTTTACTCCAGATGCCACCGGTCCAAACCAGATGCATATTGTACAGCTTTTGATTTTCTATTTTGACTTTCACTTAATGACTCATTCATGCAAATGTTCCTGACATCAAATTAATCATCATCGTTATATGAGAGCAGCTTTCCACATCAGCGGGAACTGATTCCTCTTACTCATATCTTAGACTGCACTGTAACTTTTATCCATGTACTTTTTCTTTTAATGTTTAATTGAACTATTCACATCTTAAACTGCACTGTAACTTTTATCCATGTACTTTTTCTTTTAATGTTTCTTTTATTAGCTTTTCTTTTTAATGACTGATTTTAAATGCCATTTTCTTAATGTCTTTCAAAAAGTGCTATATAAATAAACTTGCCTTGCCTTGCCTTGCCTTGCCTTGCCTTGCCTTGCCTTGCCTTGCCTTGCCTTGCCTTGCCTTGCCTTGCCTTGCCTTGCCTTGCCTTGCCTTGCCTTGCCTTGCCTTGCCTTGCCTTGCCTTGCCTTGCCTTGCCTTGCCTTGCCTTGCCTTGCCTTGCCTTGCCTTGCCTTGCCTTGCCTTGCCTTGCCTTGCCTTGCCTTGCCTTGCCTTGCCTTGCCTTGCCTTGCCTTGCCTTGCCTTGCCTTGCCTTGCCTTGCCTTGCCTTGCCTTGCCTTGCCTTGCCTTGCCTTGCCTTGCCTTGCCTTGCCTTGCCTTGCCTTGCCTTGCCTTGCCTTGCCTTGCCTTGCCTTGCCTTGCCTTGCCTTGCCTTGCCTTGCCTTGCCTTGCCTTGCCTTGCCTTGCCTTGCCTTACTGCAGGCAGGACTTTTGTAGTGGGGTTTTTACTCTATTTGGCCCTACAACAAAACAATTCACTGATGTGTCCTCCTCTGGTGACCCACATGCCTGCTTACTTTAAAGATCTCTCATTTCAGTGGGTATTCAACTCACTCGTGTAAGCATTTAAAAAGTAATGAAAAGCAGCCTGTAATCATCTGAAAAATGCTGGATTATATGAGGGTCTCCATCTTCAAAAATGTAGAAGGCATTAGAGAAACGTGTGGCCTGAAGATAAGTTATACAATCAATTACTCATCCAAATAAGATTTAATTATTTACTAGACTTGAATATAAGAACAGGCTAAAAATAATTTGCTGTGTATTGATTTAGATAACCCTAAATTGGAAATACAAAATACGATTTTCTATCTTTTTTATCCACCGTACTTTATATTGTAAACGGTATCTCTTGTCTGCAAGTGCAAGCAAACTTAACAAAACTTAATTCTTATTGTTGTGAAATACACAGCAGGACCTTAAGGCACCTAACTTTTCTGTTTCGAGAAACAAACCCTCATGAAAGTGAGTTATGGGATGCTGAAAGAATCAAGTCTCTGACACATGAGAAGGGATGTAAAAACAACAGAAAAAAGGGGGTTAAATCCCCACAATTAGCCAGCCTGGTAGACACAGCAGAGGATAGGGGTTAATGATACACAACGTCCCTTCGTGATGAATGTGTGTTTGCATTCCTGCTCGACAGGAGAATGGGCCCAAAGCCACGGAAGGTGTTAATGTCAGTTTAAGGATATCGCTCATGAGCGGCTGGAGGGGAGAATAAAATGGATGCATTAGTCAGAGAGCTTTGTTATGAACTTGTGTTCACGCAGAGAATGAAACGTGCTTGATATGGTCGCTGGATGTCAGGAATGTAATGCAACATGTCTGAAGTTTTTTAACCTTGGTTGATAAATGTGTACGTTACAGAAGCATGAAGCGTGTCATCATGGCACTATCTGCAAATGGAAAAGGTTAAGCTATTTTATTTTATCAGCGGAATAAAATGTATTAATCGTGATGTAATGAAATGTTACTTTACACATCATTGACTCTGAACATCAGATTATTTTGCAGATACTCTTCAGACATGCCTCCTGTCAAACTGACTGATAGGTCAGTTTATTTATTTACTCCCTGGTGAATGATGTGAGAAAACTCGGGCTTAAACTGTCAGCAGGCAGCTAATATTTCCCCTTTGGAAGTCAGCGCTCTGAACCCTCAAACAGGTATGTGTGTGTGTGTGTGTGTGTGTGTGTGTGTGTGTGTGTGTGTGTGTGTGTGTGTGTGTGTGTGTGTGTGTGTGTGTGTGTGTGTGTGTGTGTGTGTGTGTGTGAGCTGTATCTATACAGAGCGACTCTGAGGTGTCTCTGGGCTTGTTTGCACAGGGATTCAGCTCCTGTTATCTTTCCCTGCAGCAATGGGAGAGGTGAGAACATATACCCTCTCTCTTTTCAACCACCCCTCCTCCTCCTCCTCCTCCTCCTCCTCCTCCTCCTCCTCCTCCTCCTCCTTCTCCTTCTCCTCCTCCTCTTTCTTTGACCCTTATTAGCTTTGGTGAAGGCTGATGGCAGGCGATTCATCCAGCGCTGAGTAGCGAGCACACCTGCGTGGGGGTGTGTCCCGCTTGTCCTCCTCTCTTCCTCTTCTCCTCATCCTCATTCCCATCTTTCACTCTCTTGCCACCCCCTCTCAACCTGAGTTTGGCTTGACCTCCCCGCCTCCACCTTTTCCCTTCCTCTGCGTCCTGCAGCCTTTCCTCCAGCGATCTTTCCTGGGTTCTCCTTCGACTTTGACCTGCAGCGGGGATCACTTCACACCTCAGCTCTGTTTGTTTTGCTTGTCCTGTCATCCCCTTACCTCCCCTTCCCCGAAATGAAGCCAAATAACTCAACTGTCGATGAGGGAACACCCAGCCCAACCCTTCCATACCGCCACGACCTCCACAATCCCAACAGACCCCCAACTCATCTCCGCTGACAGAAGGAGACGAGGGTGAGACATGCTCAGGAATGGAAAGACTGCAGGCTCCCCCCACTTCCTGTAATACATCTTAAACTGTTTCCTATCAGACCTAAATAATCTTAGTAGTATTAAGTGTTGCTACAGTATGAATGTCCTGGTAAATATTTGTGATGCAACTTTGAAGAGCGATTTAACAAAACGTCTTTATTAAATCAGGTATGTTAAAATCTTTCCCCAGCCAGATGAGAAACCACAAGAAGAGCGCTGTACCTTTGCAGGCCTTCCTGTGTGAGATGGGTTTGGACAGGTCTCTGTAGTAGCCCTCCTTGCAGTAGTGGCAGTGGCGTCCGGCTGTGTTGTGGCGACAGTTGAGGCAGACTCCTCCACTCTTCCTGCCCGACAGCTTGTACAGCTCCATGTTGAACCGGCACCTTCGGGCGTGAAGGTTACAGTTACAGGCTGTGGAGGAAACAATGAAAAGGTTGAATTAGCATGAAATAAGGATTAAGTCCATTGATTGCGATCATATATACACTTTTGATGTCTATTTGAAGTTGTTTAAGTCATATGGGTTTCACTTATGAGTAAAGCTGTAACTAATTATGGTCATTATCGAAAAAATCTGTTTTCAATTAATAGCTTGGTCTATAAAAATGTCCATCCCATTCCAAGTTGATGTCTTGTCCAAAGAATGTCTAAATATATACAGCTTAATAACATACAAAAACAGTGGAAAGCAGAACGTCTCCATATTTGTGCAGACATATGCCCGTAAACCAGAAACATTAATTTAATACAGGATGGGAATTTCCAGGATCTTTTATTTTTGTTTACATCACTCACATCTGACTTGATGCAGAGCCACCATAGATGGAACGTTAATAATGACAATGAGTTCAAACACTGCTTCCTTTTTCTATCACTCTCCAGATGTCTTTTTTCTGTCCCTGTCTAAATCTTCTACTCATCACTCTTTCATCCTCTCGTTTTTTCTCCTGAAGGTCCTCGCCTGCTCTCCAGAGTCCAAACTGTACTGAACATAAAGTGAAGGCCTGGTATTACCATTCCTCCATTCCCTGCAAATCCCTGTGAGCATGTGTGAGACCCCCTTGCTGCCGCTTGTTTACTGATGAGTACAGTTGCCAGCGCTGAGTTTAATTAGCCGGCTGATGTTTATTCATGACTCTCTGGCAGCGCAGTGAAGCAGACATGCCCAACTTCATTAGGGCTGGCTGTCACAGGTCCACCACCACCACCACAGACGTATTCATGCATAATTTACAGCAACACTTCTGATACAGTTAGTGGCTGTACTGTATGTGTGTGTACGTATGGGTTTGGGGGTTATCTGGGGTCCCTATGTTGTTTTTCTGAACCACCTTTCCATCAACTGCACATGATTTTAGAGAAGCTGTTACTTCCCCTCAGCATCCCTCTACCTTTTCACTACTGTGGTTTTTTTCTGCATGTGTGTGTCTGTTTCGGACCCCCGAGACTCCTTCGCTCCACTGCAAGGACCTCATTACAATATATTTTCTAAATACACGTACAGTTCCCCCACACACATTAGCAGCGCTGAGCCTTATCAGTAGTGACTTGGCTTGCTGTGTTTCCTGCAGGACGGCAGGGGTTTAATTAGTGAAATGTCTCTGCTTGTTCTCCCTCCCTGCTTCAGATGGTCTTAAGCCTCAGAGGGAAATGACTGCAATGCAAAAAAACATGACTTTTGAGTCCTCTGAGACACAATATGATGATACTTCCATCATATTTTCTGGTAAAATATAATGTTGAGTGGAAAAAAACCGATTTACTCTCCTGTGCTGTGGACTCACTTGACTGGATGTATAGCTGTCCTTAAAGTGACATAGATCTGTTGTTTCCATTGTTGTCTTAAGATCGGTTTACACCTATTTCTAGCCTTTCAGACAGTAGAGCTTTATTATTCTGGCTCCAATGGAAAACCCTTGAAGCCCACTAATAGCAACAACCCAACTGTATGTGTCTCTGCACCAACATGTAGAAAAGAGGTAGAGGAATAAAAGTGGATTACATTTTCTTTCATTCATAGATATTTTGTGATTCAATTGGAATGAATTTGAGCCATATCACTTAATAATAAAGTTGTTCCCCGGTTGAGTGAGCTCTCAAATGATCCGTGTCACTGAGCTGCAGTCTGTAAAAGCCACAGGGTGGATTAGGTCACCCTTGGTAAAAGGTTGCCTGCAGGTAACAGGGATCAGCTGGTGGGGGATCAGTGCCTGCTCTCAGACCTGCAGGCATGTCTGTTATTCACTAAACAGATTGTTTCACACCCCTCCCAGACAGGGGGATCCTAGCTGGACTACACTGTCCCTGTGAGAAAAATGCTGTTTTCCTGGGAGGCATGTTGGATATTGAAGAAGACTAGCGGGATGTGGAGGTGTGGGGCAGAAAGCCACACTGTGTTTGATGGTATTGTGCTTCATGAGGTATTATGTCAGATAATGGGGACAAGTAATTATTACATTATTACTTTATTACATTGCATTTAGCTGACGCTTTTATCCAAAGCGACTTACAATAAGTACATTCGACTAGGAAGACACAACCTTGAAGAAAACAGAATCATATAAGTACATCAGGTTTCAAGTAAGAAGCAGTTTAAGATTGTGCTTAAACTCACTGACACTATGTGTGATGTAAGCTTGTTCACACAATACCCCTTACTCATGGAAAACATCTTTAGAATTTGTTTTATTGTAGGAGCAATTTCAAGTGTTCCACAGACATTTGAAAAAAATGGCATCATCGCAGCTTTCTCTAAATTAAATCGCATTTGATAAAAGGCAATATATGCTTCGTCTGGTCTGGGCTTAGGGTTTCCTGAGGCGTTGTAAAGCAAGTGCTTGTCCTCCAGACATTTCAGTGTTATCCACTCATGTGAAGTTACCCGTTTCCTTTCATAATTCCCTCTAGGCAAATAGTCACCTTGTGTTTGGATACAAATGTATGCTGTCAGTCATGATCACATTTTCCGGTGACACAGGACACGATCTCAGCTTTATCCTCTTTCTTTGCTATTTATTTATTTTAGCGCAATTTAAAGGTGGGGTAGGTAGTTCACTTCAGAAACACTTTTTGTTATATTCCATGGAATGCTCTTAACATCCCGATAGCAATGAATATCTTAAGTGCTTTGACAATAAATACATAAAAAAAGGTAATCTGTGGAAGCCGTAGCGCTGTAAAAAGCACGACCAATCATCTGAGCCGGGCTGGCTAAAATAACTGGATGGCCTACCTGCCTGTCAGCCTTCCATCTGTGCACAAACTTATCTCGTGCCCTCATTGGTCATGTTCACGTTTGTGTGTGTTGGAGGAGGGGCTCTGTAAGGAAGTCTGAAGGAAGAGGCAGATTTTTTTTTTTTTATTCTAGCGCACTCGAGCTGGGTTCTCCATTCTTACCTACCCTACTTTTAATAATGCATAATACAGTACAAAATAAAATCTGATTCAGCTGAAGTGCTGCACTCAGTGATTGTCATACTGCAAACAATTCTCAGTATGTGTTTATTGTTTCCATTATACGTAGAGTTTATAGAGTGTTTTATTTTAAATCAGATAACCCTAATGTTGATTATAGTTTGTTTCCAGTCATGAGCCTGGTGAGGTCATTCCTGGTACCCTCTAGGCTAAAATGGAGATAAAATAGATCAGAGTATTTCGTTAAAACTAATCCACCTCTAAAATGACAGAAGATGAAATATTTTGTATCCGATTGAACATATGACTATATTGGTTCCAGACTAGAAAGAGAAGCGGACAAAACCCGCAGGATTCAGGGTTTCCGGCCTTGAGAGGAAACACAAAAGCTGAGCTTTAGTTCATTTCAGCGGAGCATCAGCTCACACACAGCAAACAAAAGCCAATGCTACCATTCACGCACAAAACACACACCAGCACCAGGTGCACTTTAACGGCAGGTTTGCTTTTATAGTTCACTTTGAATCAACATTGCATATTATGTGTTGATATGAGAAAGAAAATGCTTTAACAAGAGAAGAATGAGACACCCTTGTTTATTTAAAGGAAATACCTCTAAAATATGTTTATGTGTAAGACATATTTATCACAATTTCAGTAGAAAATCATAATCTTATGGATATATTTCTGATTGTTGTTGATAACAAAGATGATATCAACATAATAGGAAACCTTCACATGTTTGGTCTGTTTTCAATCAGGCTAACTGCTTCAGGCTGGATTAGCGAGTCTGTAACCGCCCCCCAGGTGAGCAGTAAAAGGAAGTGTGAACTGATACCTTTAAAACAAGAGTAATTTAATTAGCTGGATAGAGCTAAGCTTACCCACAGCTTTTCAACACCTCCTGTAATGTGCACCACCGCTGTTTAAAATGACAAAAAGCTGCAATAGAGTTTTGCAGCTTTCTTTACCTACAACTGCAGAATCCGACAGGAAGCCGATCTGGTTGTTGCCGTTTCCCGCTCATCCTAGGAGCCTCAGAGCAGGATCTTGGTGTGTTTTGAAAAAGTTTGCTAATTAGTTTCTAGTGGTTCCCAGCATCTATCAACTGACCTCAGTCTCGTAGCAGCACAGATGCGGCCTTCCCTCGGCCAATTAGAGAGAAAAGTCAAGCAACAGAGCTGGAAGTTGAGGTTAAGCTCATCGTACTTACGATAAGCCGGGTAATTGAGTGATGTCGGTCACAGCCTCAATTTGTTCTAAAGAGACACTCAGGCAACTGATCTCTGCCACTTTTACTCTAAATCCACATGCTGGATTTGTGGCTGTTCACTATGCCGAAATATAGAACAAATAATTAAAAAGGGATAGCTCATTGTATCATTGTAACATTTCAGACCTTTTTAGATACAAGTATCCACACTCAGACACTACTGTCTTCAACATTCCTCTCAAATAGACATTTCCGCTCTGTTTTTTTAGGTCTTGGGAGATCACAGACTCTGACAAATATTTTGCAGCCCTTTCTCCACAGCTCTCAAGAGATGTCAGCCTCCCCGCTGCTGTTACCTCCACCGATCACCCAAACAGGACGGAGAACCATAACCCAACACCAGCGCCCGCGAGCAGGGGAGCTGCAGGAGCTCTGCTATTCTGCTTTTAAACAAACACCAAGCAGAGTCTACACTAGGACAGTTTACTTTTAATCCTATGGGCGCCCCAAAAAGTAATCAGATTAACTTCTGAAACCCCCTCAGGACAAAATGAAAAAAAGATTGAGCGCCATCTGAGAGAGAGAACGGTTAAAGAAGTATAACTCACTATGACTTATTTTAAATGTTTTGAAAAAACTGTGCCCCAAAATATCTGGAACAGCTTGATACACCCCTGTAGGATGCATGACATTAAATTATGGCAGTCTGTAACCCCCCCCCCCCCCTCAAATATACCACACACACACACACACACACACACACACACACACACACACACACACA